ATTTCAATTTTCTCTACAGTATTACACCATCGTTATATATTGTTTTCGATGTAATATCGATTCATTCCTGATATATAACATTGGAATTCTTTATATCGATATTAATTAAAGATAAAATCAAGATATTAAATGTATATCGAATTTGGTAGTTTAATCGGTAAAATAGAGATGTAAACCGTCTGTTTCATCCAAGTTCTAGCCTCAAATTAAGGAAGGAAGCGTAATTTCAATCACACAGTTTACTCCCGATCCCAAAATTAGTCTGGACTTCGACCAAAAAATATCCGATGATCAAAAAATAATATTAAATGTATAAATAAAATAATTTGGATATATACACTAGGGGTAGGCACGGATCGGATATCGGGATTTTTGAGATATCCGTATCCGATCCGTACAAATATTCGATTTTGTTATCCGTATCCGATCCGTAATTTTCGGATATCCGCAACTTCGGATATTCGTTAAAATCACGGATATTTGCGGATATCCGTATTCGATCTAAAATATTATAAAATTTTAAATTTAAATTAAATAACAAATTCAAACGTAAATAAAATATATAATCTATTTAAGATAAATAATATTCACAAATTTAAAATTCATAATTTAAACATTCCAAATCAACTCAAATACAAATACAATTATAATCTATTACATACAAATATATTCAAAATTCAAAACACTAAACATAATAAATCTTAATATTCAAAAATTAAAATTATAAACCTCAATATATATAAAATTTTTCTTGAATCACCCTAAAAAAACATGTAAATATTAAGCATTTTAAATCTCTATACCAAATTATTCTTATATTTAATAATATTATTACAAAATACGGATCGGATCGAATATGTCGAATAATTCAAATTAATATCCGTATCCGATCCGTATCCGATCCGTATCCGATAAATATCTCCAAATAAATATCCCTATCCGATCCGTAAACTCCGGATATCCGAATTTTCGGTTTGGATACGAATCAAATAACGGATCGGTTCGGATTTTTCAGATATTTTGGCTGTCCCTAATATACACACATACATACAAAGTCATCTCGGGAAGTGTGCAATTGGAGAGATTGCACATACCCCATATTTATTTTTTTAAAACTATATATTTGTCATTTTATATAATTTATTTATTATTAAAAAATTAAAATATAATTAGAAAATAGTAATACTGATTAACACTATTACCATTTTATTTTTTAATTTTTTAAAATTTTTAAAGTAAAACAAAAAAATATATCACAATTTTTTTAATTTGATTTTTTTAATCATTTTCTCTTTCTATATAATTTGACAGCTAAATATTAATTTTATTCAGGTATTTAATATTTATTTTTAAGTTTATATTTTTTCTTTCATTATTGTTATACAAAAATTGTTATTTAATGTTATTAATAACAACTTTTTTATTTGAATTGTAAGTTTACTTTTTAATTCAATATATGAGGATAGAGTTAAAAATTTGATATCCTAAATTAAATTAATAAATTTATAGATTTGTTAGTTACTTTTTATTCTAACTACGTTTTAGTTATTTTTTTTAAATTAAAAAATTAAAAAATTTATAATTTATAATTTAATATTGTAAATTATATGATACGGGCCCCGAAATTGTTTGAGACGACTCTGCATACATAGATATTACTTGTGATATAAAATATATATTTTTATATTTCAAAGTGTGAGTTTAGTAACTATATAAAAAAAATTTATTATTATTAGATATTTTTATTTTTTGATGCAATTTTTAAGAGGTGTCAAATGGGTTCATCCGGAAGAGATATAGGTCTCAAATATAAAATATTGATACCAATTCTTGTAAAATACGAATTTAGGTTTAGTTTTTTTATTCGGACTCAATGAGATAATCTATAGGTGCAATTGCAAATGAGAGAGATATACAAAAATATTTAAATCTATTATTTTAGATATAGATCGATGAATAAATTTATGATATTAATATTACGACTGCGTATATTTATGATTGAGATTATTTATTTATTTACATTGCATCAAATCGTAATTTTTTTTTATAATTCGGAAGTTCATCGGGTCTTTGATCCAACTACATCTTCGAAAGGATCGAAGAAATCCAGGTGAATGTCTCTCCCACGTTTGGGTTTAAACTCAAGATAAAAACATGTTTTGCATATTATCTTATCACTAGGTCATCCAAATTTAGGTTATATTCTAAACCAAATCAAAATAAACTAAACCAACATTTAACCACACACACACATATATATATATATATATATATATATATATATATATATATATTCTAATAAAAACCAAGCTAATCTTTTTTATCCGGAAAAATAAAAAAAAATACTGAACTTTTCAATTTTGACAAAAAAGCACTGAACTTTATTTTTTATCAAATAAACATTAAACTTTTTAAGTTTGACAAAATAAACACTTAACTCTTTAAAGATTGTCAAAATAAACAAAATGACTGATGTGACACAATCAGATGCAAACACGTCAGATTATTTTTCTTAGTTTTTTTTACAATCGAAAAAAGTTCATGTATTTTTTTGGATCACTAAAAAAGTTTAGTGTTTTTTTGGTAATCGGAGAAAAGTTCATGTATTTTTTGGATCACTTAAAAAGTTCAGTAGTTTTTTAGATTCGCTTAAAAAGTTTAATGTTTATTTGATAAAAAAATAAAGTTCAGTGTTTTTTTTTTAAAATTGAAAAATCCAATGTTTTTTTTGAGATTTTCCCTTTTTATCCTTAATGTCTCGATAATAAATATTTTGCAACCATTCCTCAATGGAAATTTCGGACAGTGAACGACGATCCAATTAATTTTGATCAATCATATAATATAATTCGTTTGGACACACACGACGTTCATCCAATAAAAATAACGCAACAGATATTCAACTCATCCTCACCGTCGAAAGTGACACAATATCATTGTAAACCACAACCGTATTACCGGTCACAGAAGACATATATCTTCGAGGTCGGTCCAAAATAAATATCTCAAAAAGGGTTACACTAATGCGATGCTATGATTGCTGATGGAAAATATTATACAGAAAGGGCAAGGGTCACCACCGATATGTTTGATTTTTTTTAAAAAAAAAACTGATGGAACCCGACGTGAATTATAATATTTTGGTTATGTTTGTCTAAATTGGTTTGGATATTTAAAACTTAGGATAATTAATATACGCTTCCTTTAACAAAATTAGAAAAAATAGAAATATAAAAAATGAAGAAAGATAACCCAAATTAAATAAGTCATATCAAATGAACTTGAAATTGATTAACTAATTGGTTATTTGATATACCAATGAAATCTGATTATTTTTGTTCCGTTTAGTTTTTTAATCCTAAGTTATTATTTATTAAAACAGTTTCACTTATATAATTAGTCCAATTATTTTGGTTCTGTTTAATTTTGAACTTTATATTATACTTTATTTTGTTCCTTATTTATTATTGTTCGGTTATCAAACCGAATCGAATTGAATTTTAATTCGGTTGTTGTTCAATTGTAATATTTTATAAGTATAATCGAATCTAACTGAAACAAATTACTATATAGATATTTATTGTTGGATTACAATTTAAATTTGTTATATCGAATAAAAAATTCTATAATAAAGTATTCATGTGGAATTTTTATAAAAATTTGAGTATTTATTGGCGATATAGAATTTTATTGATTTCCATGTCTATTATAACTGAACCGAAGCCCAAAGGCAGGAATGGAAAAAGCAAATCTTTCAAAAGAAAAAGAATATTGTAACAGAGAAAATGGACGCTACATGAAACGGTCGATGCGAAGATATTTGTGAGATATTTTCATCTCCCACGAGTCGGTCACATCACGACCTTCGTGGAGAAGTCACGTTGATTAAAGTGCCACGTCGACTGTCAAAAGCTACATGACATTGTGACGTGTCAATTATGCCACGTCAACTCCATATCTACACATACATATACATATACATACACCCACTATGTGCATGTGTGTGTTGAAAGTGACATGTCACCAACTGCCTCTTCCGAATGTTCTAGAGGGACGAACCACACTAATTTGCACCAGGGCTCGAGATATTTCTATATGATTTTTAATTAATTTTTAGGTTATTGCTTATTATTTTATTGGACCTAGTGATTTATGATTTGCTTAACATTCTCTCTCTCTCTAGGTTGAGAAACACGATCCGTAGTTGCAATTGCAACTAAAAGTTACATAATTCCTAACACAAAAATCCATAATTATGATTAGGGAGATCTTGCAAAAGGTTTTCAACATCTATAACATATTAATACATAATGTTTAATTTTAATATGTTAATGTATTAATCATATTATACTTATAAATATAATCACAAATTTTAAAATTAACCATCAATATTATTAATTTAATATACAATTCCTAAAATGTGATATGGTTAAATAGAAATATGAACTATAAAATCTCATCCAACATATCAGTTAGTTAAACTAATAAGGATGGACAAAAACTTCTTTTTAACCCAAATTCAAATTTTCATTTGGGACGAGTATTTACCTAGATTTTTTTAGATTTTCAGGAGATGTAATTGAACTTTGGTGAATTTTCATATTATAAAAAACTATAGAATCCAAAAGTTTGATAATAATATTAATAATTATAAATAAAAAACTATTGAATAATAACATAAATCACGATTTTTTGAAAAATTATAGTCTATTTTTTCAATATTATAATCTTGACTTAAATTTTTTTGAAGCTATGGATTTTAAAATTTAAAATTATTATTTTAAATAAAAATCTATATGTGTATATATAAACAAGCAAATAAAATATACGATTATGGGATCGTTGATGCAAAATAAAACCATAAAAATGTGATTGGTTATTTTTATATTTTAGGTGGAAAGCAAAACCCTTTATGCAATTGTTTTGATTTGGACAAGCCCTCTAATATATATATATATATATATATGAAAAGGGAAGGAATGCCCCCAAGGAAACAAATATCTCTCGGCTCTTTTAGTCATTGCCATAACGAAACCCATCAAATATCTTCCCCTTTTTCCCACTTTTCTCTTTCCCCAAATAAATATCTCGCGATTCAACCCGACCCGGTTAAGCCCGACCCATGTCCGGTCCCATCTCTTCGCCGTCCGGCGACTCATGCCTCAGACTTCCGACGCCGACGATGGACGCCGAGTCCCAGACGCTGATTCAGTCGATCTCGGCGCAGGGAGGCTACGCCTACGCTCGCATGGCGGCGCTCGCGGCGGCCGGAGACCAACGCGCTGCCGAGGCAGCGCGTGAGATGGCATGGGAGCAGCTCCACTCGGGTCCATGGCACTCGGTTCTTCCCGTGTGGCGCGACGCCTACTCCATGGCTTGTCTCCACGTCGCCAAGTTCCATTTCGCTGGCGGCGAGTTCGGCGACGCGCTTAGGGCTCTCGATATGGGGCTGATAATGGGCGGGGAGATTCTCCGGAAGGATCTCCACGACGGGGTTTTGTTGGTTTCCTCTGTAGCCCGTAAGAGAGTGAAGGGTTCAGAAGCTTCCGGTGATTCCAATGGCGAGAAATTGGTTGCTGAAGCTCCTGTTGACGTCAATGAGGTGAACCCTAGATTTGTCGTTATTGTTGCTTGGGATGAAAAGTTACTGCTTTACGAATCTCGTGTGAAAAGGGTTTTCAGATCTTGCGGTTCTTGATGCATTTCCTTCTAGTTTTGCTGAAATTGAAGTTGAGATACAGATGCAGATGATTCCAGTGGATATAGATACCATTCGTGTTGTAATATCTGTTCACAGTGGTGCTGTGTTCTTCTTCTTCATTTTTGAATGAATTGCAGGTGCTTAAGATATTACCTGATAGGTCTCTTACTTGTCGGAGTGTAGAGAAGAGGTCTGCTCTATCTTTGGAGGGATTTCTGCGTGATTATTTTCTAACGGGTACACCTGTTGTAATAACGAATTGTATGGCTCATTGGCCAGCCAGGACCAAGTGGAATGACTTGGACTATCTCAAAATGGTTGCTGGTAACCGAACGGTGCCCGTTGAGGTGGCTACTCATCATTTTCTTTACATTGGATTTAGATTTTCTTATTTGGCTATTCCATCATGCCATTCTTTTTCATTTGCCCTGTTCATGTTATTACCGTAGCTAAGCTTGTTAGGGTGATCTCTAGCAGTAGCGATTCATCACGAGCATATTCGGATCTTGTTGAGGCTTGTCGTGGAATTCTGTTGGAGAGGCTAATTTGGTCGAAAGCATAGCACTAGTGATTACTTTCCTAAAGATGGTTTTAAGATGCCATCGGTTGCCATGTCTACTTTGGTTGAGACCTGAGGATAGGATTACAGTTTGTAAAGTTAGCATGTTAGTTTCCTTGTTAAAATGCCATGGTCCAACTGGGAAACTGGTATCCATATTGGTCAGATTGAAAATTACAGAATTGTGAATCCTAAAGGACTGAATCATATTGTACACGATAGTATTTTCTATTGGTTTTTACCAGAGGGATATAGAAGACTATGAAAGGAAAGAGATCGATATTTCAAAGACAAATTCGCAGCTAACATTGCATCTTTTGTTCTGGATACAGCTTAGGTTGTGTGAATTATGTTATTCTTGCTTCATATCCACAGTGGTTCTTTTTACTCTCTCTGGTCTGAAAAGATGCATTTGTGTTCAAATAACTTTTCCTTAAGGACCTTAACTGAAAACTGGCAAAGTTTAAAATGCTACTCAGGTCGGGAGAAATTACTTGTGTACTGAGTGGAAGCAAGAGCTTATAACTTTTTCCCAGTTTTTGGAAAGGATTCGATCAAATAGTTCCTCTGCAGAGCCGACCTATCTTGCCCAGCATCCATTGTTTGAACAGGTGCGTAATAGACATCTGACTTACACATGTTCTTGGATTTAGCTCTGTGTCACACTGAAACTGTGGTTAATGGTTTCGTGTGAATGGGCAGATTAATGAACTGAGAGATGACATTTGTATTCCTGATTACTGTTTTGCCGGTGGTGGGGAACTTCGATCTCTTAATGCTTGGTTTGGTCCAGCTGGGACTGTTACTCCGTTACACCATGACCCACATCACAATATACTCGCTCAGGTAGTGTACAGATATTTATTCATAATAACTTGCTCACTGGTTTTTTCCATCAATCCACTCGGCTTTTGATCGCCGTAATATTGTCGAGTTGTTGAAAGGTTTTTAAGTATGCCTTCCTTCTTATACTGAACAGAACAGAACTGAATTCTTGGTATACTGTCGATATTCAGGTTGTTGGCAAAAAGTATATAAGGCTTTACCCATCCACCGTGCAAGATGAACTCTACCCGTATTCTGAGACAATGCTCTGCAACTCCAGCCAGGTAAGATCTCATTCCCGGTTATCGTTTTGACAGGCTAAACGAAATGGGTTTCTTGTGATACAAACAAAGTCGTTGCCTTGACTCGACCTCTGCCCAAAAACCCGTTATGATCTTGTTCAGGTCGATCTAGACAACATGGACAAGAATCAGTTCCCGGAGGCAGCGGGCTTGGACTTTCTGGACTGCATCCTGGAGGAAGGAGAGATGCTCTACATTCCTCCGAAGTGGTGGCATTACGTTCGGTCTTTAACCATCAGTTTCTCGGTTAGCTTCTGGTGGAGCGACCAAACCGCATCCTCGGGCTCTTAGCGTGAGATTTATCATCTATCTCATCTCTTTTCACTGGCTCCTCTTGTGGAAGAAACCCTTGAAAGATTTTAAAAAGGAAGAAATAGGAGGAGAAAGGACATATGTTGTCTAAGCGTAGAGGGCATTTGTGTTTTGGTCCGTTCGATCGACCAAGTGTGAATTAGTTTGATGCTTAGACGCGTTTTTTTGTTGTATCGGGTACTCTTTAAGTTTGTCTGATGTGTTAACGTGTTCCTCACGTTATTGTAATGGTTGAATTTCCTCCTCATCCTTCAGCTTCCTTCTCTCATAATTTTTACTAATTAGAGATTGGAAAAGAAATGAGATAGCTATGAATTTATATATAAATAATATCGAAAGCTTGTGATATGCTATGAATTTGAGATGTGCGACCATGCGACTATTTTGATTTTTTAGGAACTCTGAATTTTAAAAAAATTTATTATTTGAAAATTATTAGTATAATAAAAGCACAAAAAAATAAAGGGTATTAGTGATATTTATAAATTAATATGAGTTATTATTTTTATTGATTTTATATAAATCAATTTAAAATAATTAAGGGAAATTAGAATTAGTTTAATTTTTCTTTTTCAAATTCAGTCTAATGGTTAATTTTTAATTCATATAAATAATATAAATTAGGGTTTTCTTGTTGTTAAAAAAGTAGGATTGTATTAGTTATTTATGGTTTGTGTAGGTGTTAATAAAATTCGAAGTCCGAAACTCGATCCGAAATCCGTCCGAAAATTAAGGGTTTGGACCTAATAATATAGGTTCGATAAATAAATGGGCGTACCGACCTGACCCGAAATAATTTAGGCTCGAATTGAGTCTTTCCTGAAACCCGTCTGATCCGCCAATTTAGTTTGAAAAAATATTAGATGATTAAATTTATACTTTCACTAGAGATCTTATATCACACAATATTATATAAAAAAAATTATTTGTATATTATATATATATATATATATATATATATTTCAAAACAGTTTGATTAATATATATATTAAAATTATATATTATATATATTATTGAATGGTTTGATTAGATTTTGATCTGATTTATATATATATATATACTATGAGTTTAACTTTGATTTTTAAGTTTCATTTTAATATTTTTCTATATTTTTTTAACTATACCGAATATCTTTTTCACATATTATATATATAGTAAAAATATTAGATAATTTATATATTTTAAAATTTATATAATTATTTTTTAGATTTAAAAATTTTTAATTGTCATTGATACGGATACGGACGGACGAAAATTTGTTATTGCAGAGTTTTAAAAAAAATTGCTAAATAACTCAATATTATTATTATTATTATTATTATTATTATTATTATTATTATTATTATTATTCAGTCATATTTATTTTTTTATTAAATAGAAAAAACTCGAAATTCAGCCCGAAGCCCTATAGAATCGGGATCCGAGCCACCGATCATATCCCGAACAATAAAAGGCGGGTCGATCCGACTAGAAAAAATCTAAACTTGAACTAAACCCAACCCGAACCCGGCTCGACCCGTCCATTTTACATCTGATTTTTTTTTTTTTTTGTAAAACGTAAATTTTATTCCTATATAATGTTTCTTACAAGGCATCAGTGAAAATAGACCTTGGCCAATTTTCCAAAGTTACATCAAAAGCAAGAAGCCCCGGGATTTGAGAGCCAAAAGAAGATAAATCAAAGACGTTCAAAAGCAGCTAAAGCACATTGATAACAATTCCATTCAGCTCTAATTGTAGTGTGTTGTAGCGTGTCCTTCACCACCAACATGTCACTCGGATTCGAAGCCGAGTTGTGTAGCCTTGTGTTCCTTTCACGCCAAATTGCACGAACAGCCCCTTGAGGTAGTAGCGTTACCACGAGCTTCATACGCGGGATCGGCTGGTTCAATGGGGATTAAGCTATCCCATACATCACAGACTTTGAGAATCCGTGGTCCACAGTCACCGAATACCTTAATAAGTGCCCCTTGCGGGAGCCGGGAAGCTACGAGATCGTCCGTCCCCCAATCTGCGTCGTAGAAATTCCCATGCCGAGTTTTAAATTTTTTTTCCACGTCCAGCTTCCTCTTCCTCGTTGGTTGAGCTGCCAAAATGATGTCGAGCCAACCAATCATTTTTCTCCTTTGCTGATTTCCAAACATGTACGTATATATGCTCAGATTTAGGGAATTTTTTTTTATTTATAAAATATCAAAAACCCAAAGATTAATTAGATATTCATCATTCACATATATTGTAATCGAATATGTTTTCTTTCCGTTTTTAATAATATCTTTACTTATTTTTGCTACAGATTTTTTTTTTAAAAAATATGATATCAAATAAAATGTAATGTATATTTTTATTTTGGAATTTTTTTTTACAATAATAAAATTAAATCTTGAAATTTTAGACAAACTTCCAAAAACAACAATGAAATTAAACTCTAAAATTTTAATATAAAAATTATTGTATTTCTTAGAAATTTTATCGTTCTCAAAGATTTTATTGAAATTCGGAATTAATATTTGAATTTTCCAATAAAAATTATTAGGTCTAATTAATACAAACATTTTATTTAGTTTTTTCAATATTATTTGTATTTCTCGGGAGCACCTCGGTTCCATCTCTGTGGCTTTGTCTCTCTATCTCCCTCTCCAGAGAAATTTTCGCCGAAAGAGAGAGAAGCGATGCAGTTCTTCGGAGGATCGGAGATAAGCCCTTCGCCGCCGGTGCCGACGGCGAGTGGGAACAACGCGCACATGCTGTACGTCTTCAACCGCAACGGGATCTGCCTTCTCTACAGGGAGTGGAATCGTCCTCTTCACACGCTCAACGCTCAACAGGATCACAAGCTCATGTTTGGCCTCCTCTTCTCTCTCAAATCCCTTACTGCCAAGATGGATCCCGTCAAGTTAGTCTTCCCCTTTCCCGTTCGATTGCAAATCGAGGTCACCGGATGATCCACTTGTATCGCTTGTTTTGATGGTTCCTGATCTGCGGTGTTTGAGTTGATTTGGTCATTCTGTGTGCTATACTTGATGGGAAAACTGGGTCGGCTTCTCTCGATTCGTTCATTTTCGTTGATTTGCTTGGCTTGATCGCTCTGAACAATTTGGTATCGTTGATTCGATTTTTTCTGATCTGGGTTTGGTTGATTAGGTCACTCTGACTGTTCTGTTTGATGGGAAAATTGGATTGGCTTCTCTCAATCCGTTCATTTTCGTGTAATTGCTTTATGTTGGGGTTTCTGGATTTGCAGTGCGGATAAGGGGAATCTTGGGGTTCCTCAGTTGCCGGGACAAGGATGCTCTTTCCACAGTTTCCGGACAAATACTTACAAGCTTAGTTTCATGGAGACTCCTTCTGGAATTAAGGTTGCCTTTTTAAATTCTTCGAATTTTCTTTCTCAAGCTACTCCAATTCAGTTCCAAGCATCTCATACTTTTGTTCGAATCGAACAAACATATATCAGTTAATCTTTTAAGCATTTTGGGTGAGGATAAAAAGTTATTATTCAGCTCAAATGTTCTGATCTTTCTGCCGGCCTTAACTGATATCTTGGCTATGAGAAGTATTTCTAGCATCATAAGATCTTCACTCAGTGTCTGAAGCATGTCGCTAGTTTCTGTTGTTTGCTGGAGATTAAGATGGTTGTTTAAATAGCGATGTAGCATGGCGACGGATAGAAGAAAAGGGTATAGCAATTTTGTTTTCCCAAGTAAACCAACTCAGTTGTTAACGGTACTTTAATTTATGTCTTGATGGAGAATAATATGTTAAGTCGATATAGGTGTTTAACAAGTTTGTCCTGACAAATTTTTGTGACAAGAGAACCATGGTAGAAGTTACGAACTAGATGTCCTGCATTTAATCCATAATTAGGACACAAAATATCTAAATGTGAGACCTTTGAAGTCTTCAAGATGAGATACAACAAGGATGAAATATCCTGAAAATGTCAAACTTGGTTTGCTTGCACCCATGAAATGTGATCTACATTGGGCACCGACCTAGATGAGTGGTGTGACCGTGGCAGTAATTGCTAGATCTTTTGTCCATATGGGTGCATTAGCTTCAAGCTGCTCAATTTTATTTTGGGCCAAATTAGCTGATTTTGCTCTCGTTTCTGCATGCATATGCATCAAAGTATTGGCCTCTCACAGCTACATTTAATTGTTCCTTTTGTAGCTTATCTTAGTTACCCATCCGAGGACAGGAGATTTACGGGAATCCCTGAAGTACATTTACAGTTTATACGTAGAATACGTTGTGAAAAATCCTTTGTACAACCCAGGGGCTCCAATCAAGTAAGTTTAATCGAGTGAACGCCGGGTTCTGATTAAGTTTTGATTTGGGATCTGTGCTTAGTTAGTATTTGACCTCATAGAAACCCAAATTCGTTTATATCTGATTGCCTTTATCAACCAGTAATCTTACAACTGTATTTTCTGGCATTTAGGTCTGATTTGTTCAACACAGCACTTGATCAGTATGTCAGGAGCATTTCATAGTGCTGCGGTTTGGCCACAGGGACCAATCGCCTTCGAACATCTTCCGGTATGTTTCTATTGAAGATTGTTTCAGCATCTGTGCCGTAGTATTATACGTTTCTCAGATCAGTTGCGAGTATATTTCTTTCAGAATTTATAGCCCGACGATCTGACAAACTGTCTAATCTGAAAAATGCTTGTGTTCTTGTCTTGGTGGATGTAATCTATCATGTGGGTTCTTCTTTCTGATTGTATTACCAATGGGTTCTTGGTTCATCAGATACAGGTGGGTATGTTTTTATATTTTGAAAATCTATGGAGAGCAAGAGAATATGTGAAGGGGATAGGCTAAGAATCTGCTCTGTGATTGGGTTATTTGGAGAAAATATATTAAAAAAACAAAGCTTTTATATTTATTTAATCCAAATTTATAATTAGAGAAGGGCTGAGGAAAATAGTTTGGAGAAAATATTAACAAAAAAAAAAAACAAAGCTTTTATATTTATTCATGAAGTTCTGTATGTGCAAAGGGGTCCGACACCAAAATTAAATGGAAATAGTTTTTGTGTATCGAAATCCCATATGGACACTCCCACATGTTTTCCCAGGAATCCGACAAATTATTAACGAAAGTTATAGGATATATATGTATATATATTCACCGGCTAAACATTTTTCGAACTTCCTCAATTGGGATGTAACATATTTCTCAAAATCAAAGAATTGACATCCTTTATCTAATTAAGAAAAACATTTTATCTAATAAAATACTATATTTATTAAAAAAAAAATCGATTTTTTTACATTCAGCTTAAGATTCAGATTCAATGATTTTGGTTTTAAAAAGATGATGTCAAATAGTACCGAATTTGGTTTAGAAGCGGTTGTATATTATCCGAATTTTGTTCAATTTTAGACATCAGAATTGAAATAACCACTCATGTTTCACATACAAAATGTAAGAAGCTGCCATTGACGAATGGTAATGTAATAAGTTGTGATAAAAAAAAAACAGCGTAATAAACTAATTAAGCTATACAAAAAATATGTACATGATTTTTATTTTCTAAAAAGATTAATTGAACTCTTGTGCTATAAAGAAAAAAGGAAACACGATAAAAAAAAATAATAATTTACTCATTTTTTTTTTGTTTTCTCCCTCTGGTCTCTTTTATTGGTGAGTCCTTTGCATACAACGAAAATATGTTCGGTCCAATAAGCAAATCATTAATAAATGATATTTGCAACGTAATGATTGAAAATACCATTTTGTGAAAATTTATTAGTTTAAATATTTTTGTGTAAAATGTTGTAGTTGGGGGGGGGGGGGGGATACCAAGAAACATTAGTTTAGATATTAATTTATCAAATTTGATTTTTTTTTTTGTTTATTTGATTTTCATAGTAGTTATCCCAAAGTAGAGAGATATTTTTTGGGATTTTACCTTACTGTAGTTATTTCAATAAAAATAACTTTGTATCATTACAATGGACACCGATTTATTCACAGCTCAGTTACATGAAAACTCGTGCAGTGAAAATTTTCGAATTAAAATAAATTTTGAAAGCTGTGAGCAATCTAGTAAAGAATATGAACTCTATATTTAATTAAATATACGCAATCTTAGTTGGAGATACCATTTTGTTCATGAAATATTTATATAATTTAAATATGTTAGAATAATTACGGGTTTACAAGTATCTCTCTATTCTTGTCTTTTAAGTTAAGCAACTTCAAAGAACAGATCAAGCAATTGTACAGATAACTATAAGTTTCGATATTATAAATATTAATTTAGGAAAAACTCCATATCATCCGTATATTTTTTTTTCCAATTGTAATACATCAAATCGTATTTGAAATTTTAATTGATTGATCTGCGAGGTGTTAATAGATCTCTAAATTCCGTTAACACCGGTTAAGATCACTCTAAGACGTCCTTTGGGACGAGTTGGAGAAATTGTATGTTTTTTTTTTTTATGAATATCTAGCATATTTTTTCTATACCGAATATTACAAAAATATAAACTTGACAAATCTAAGCCTAATCTCGTAATTATTTTTAAAAAAAGTTCGTCAAAAATCTTATGATATGATATAATATTTCTATGTCATTAGAGTGACCAGAAGCCTCCCCATATATGGAAAGTATTCACAATGAATATAATCGCTAATTGAAATCTTTAAGCATACATATAACGTCCTAATTAATTAACAACAAAACCTAATAATTAAAAGACACATACAAATATAAACATGCAGGTATTTATTTTTTGGGATCATTCATATCACACAAATACATATGCAAACTAACACAATCCTATCATCGGTTAAAGCCCTGAAACATTATGCGACATCATGTTCTTTACGAGACAAACCCTAGAGCCCTACTACTGCTACTTGAAAACCCTATAAGCACCCAAACACAAAACTTATATATATATACGCCAATGCGAAAACTAAATGAGATAATTAGGGTTTTATTATTGATTAAAGAAAAGTGAAAAATTAAAAGAGTCATAATCTCGAGGCGACACGAGCACTTTTCCGGTCATTCCTCCCCGATACACACATACACACACCAAAGACCCATCACCATGGAAACTCTCGAAAGCTTTTCTTTGGATTCCCGTGATCTCTCTCTCTCTCTCTCTCTCTCTCTCCCCAAGTAATTATCCCTCCTATTCGTGATATTCACGTTCATGCCCACCTCTTATATTATATTATATATATATATATATATGTGTCATGTGTGTATGTGTATGCATGCGTATATATATATTAGAATATATCTTATATTTATAAAAGAAAAAGTGCATAATAGACATTGCCCTCTATGCCCTAGTTTTTCCCGATAACTTTCCTCAACCCTTTTGTTTCACATGCTATTTGATTTCCAATATCTTTCAACCAATACAACAGTCCATATGTCTAATGTACATACACACACACGCATACACACTTGCTTGATATCTTATATTTATAGTGTATTTGGACTTTTTTTTGTAGATATCTCCTTGTTCTTTAATCCAAAACAAATGGTATTCTTTTTCCCACGCTCGATCGTTAGACCCTAAAATATTTTAGATTTTTCATCGATAGGCAACACATGCATGCATGCATGCAAAAGATACAAATGTGAGTTGAACCGACACGTGGCAGTGAATGTAGAACGGATACGGCCGCAAAATATGAAACGAAGTGTGTTTTGTCATTAAAATAAAATGTCTTACTTTTTTTTAATCTTTTACCGCCATTGGCCGGTGACTGTTAGTCAGCAACATGCACATTCCCATCGCGCTTCCCAACACAAACCCTACGAAAGAGAGAGAGAAGAAAGGATTTATCCGATCTAGCTAGTAAGTGTTTCTCGGATTTTTCTTTTAAATATTCCTGCATGTTTTAATCTTTTTTTTTTGTAATTGATCATGATCTCTGATACTAAATTTTTTTAGGGTTTACTTGAAATCGAGGTCTCTTTACTAATTGTGCTTTTTTGGCTAATTGTAGTTTGAGATCATGCAAATATGAGGGGGTTCTTAGGGGTGAGCGTTTAGGTAAATTCTCAAACGGTAATTTTCTAAATCGAATCCAATAGTACCAAATTTTTAAAAATCCGAAAAACTACTTAAAAAATCTATTTTTTTTTAATAAAAACCGAACCGAAATCAGAGCGAATCAAATATGATATAATAAACGATTGGTACATATTTTGTAAAACCGAAAGAACCGAACCGGATCATTCCCGAATCGAATGGATCATTTTCAAACCGAACCCAAACTAAATATCGAAACACCTACCCTAGTTTTCTTTTTGTGTTTGTCTTTTGTTTTGCATAAGAAAGAAAATAACAAAAAGAAGACTTTTTTCAAGTGAAATCGATATGTATATTGTAAACAATACCGTAAGTTCTATTTTTTAAAAAGAATTTACAGAGTTAAAAACATTACATTTATTTAAAATTAGATTTTATCGATTCAATATTTAATGTATTTTCTATAGTTAGCTGTTTCAAATTCAATTCCCTTTCGTTTGCGTTGGGTTGGTTTAGTTTTTATTTTGACATTTTATAAAAAAAAATTTATAAAAATGGCATCTACCCGTTTCGATTTACATTTATTAACAAATGTACTTATTTTCAAAAATTACATTTTAAAAATGAGATTTATACACAATAAACACTTTCTTTTTGGTTCGATATTTAATATGTTTCCTCCCAAAATAGTTAGGACACATCTTTAAACTAGGGGTGGACACGGATCGAATATCCGATATTTTTGAGATATCCGTATTCGTATCCGATCCGCATAAATATTCGATTTTGTTATCTGTATCCGATTCGTAATTTTCGGATATCCGCAACTTCAGATATTCGTAAAAATCACGGATATTTGCAGATATTCGTATCCAACCTAAGATGTTATACAAATTTTAATTTAAATTAAATAATAAATTTAGACGCATATAAAATTTATAATCTATTTAAGATAAACGATATTCACAATTTAAAATTCATAATTTAAACATTCCAAATCAACTCAAATACAAATACAACCATAATCTATCACATATAAATATATTCAAAATTCAAAATTCAAAATATTAAACATAATAAATCTTAATATTCAAAAGATTAAACATTATAGACCTTAATATATATATATATATAATTTTGAATCACCCTAAAAACGTGTAAATATTAAGCATTTTAAATCTCCATACGAAATTATTATTTTTAATAATATTATCATAAAGTACGGATCGAATCGGATATGTCGGATAATTTAATTTTAATATCCGTATTCGATCCGTATCCGACAAATACCTCCAAATAAATATCCGTATCCGATCCGTAAACTTCGATATCCGAATCTTCGGTTTGGATACGAATCGAATAACGGATCGCTTCGGATATTTTGACCACCCCTACCTTAAACCTCTAATCTTTTGTGATGTCTTTCACCCTCAAACGGGTATCTTAGGGTTTCTTTTTATTTTTTTTAAGACGTATTCTAATACATTAGTAACAACTATGCAATATCGTCAGTCAAATTCACAATATATCAATTTTTTCTGAATACATTAAAGAAATTACGAAATGGCGGGAAAGTTTCATAAAAAATCAAAATGGCATTATGCGATTTCCGAATTTTGTATTCCTAAAATAACATGATATATTGCTTGTGTTATTTTTATTATTATGCAACACTTCGGTTATTGATTATTCTTCTGAGATTAGATTCTGTGAACATTAGTTTATGAGAAGCAGACTGAAACTCTGAGTTGCTCAGTTTGGAAGAAAGCGTTAAAAGGAAACTTTCTTTTTTTTAAATTTTTTCATAAAATAGAAATAGAAATTCAATTTGTTACGGAGTTATATAAAAATATTCCTATATTAATTAATTATATGAAAACTTTATATTAAAGAAAATAAAGAGATACGAATAAGAACTTTCCTTATAACAGGCCTACATCCCTTCGAGATACGAATATACACGACTGTCCTCCTTCACTTTTCTCTATTGAAATAGAAAACTTAGAAAAAAATGTAAACAAAAGTTTTCCAGACAATTATTTAACAATTATAACTTTGATATATATATATATATATATATATATATAACTAGTGGATGGGGAATGCGTAAAGATAATACATAAAATTTTAAGATTAATGACTATTGCAACTATACATTAATTTATTTGTTTAATTTTTTCACTATGATCGCAACAATTATGTTTTTGCGATAATTAATTGATATAGGAGGCATATATTGTTATGTAGTTCAAAATTGTGAATGGTGAATAAAATTAGCTTTTTTTTATAAAAAAAAATGGTTTCTTTATTAGTCTCTATTTAACATTGTACTTTAGATTCTATTATATGGAGTTGTAACTTAAGTTTAGAGTTATAATAAAATGTAATAACATGTTTATATATATATATATATATATATATATATTAATAGGAATGGTATAAATGGATGACACAAAGGCATGCGAATAAACAAATGGTTGGCTCATAGCACAATACAAACTTCTAGTGTGCAAAGGACATAAGTAATTATAACTTTTGTACTAAAATATACTTAATTTATTTAATTGTATTTAAAACTAATTAATAAAAAACCCCTCTTTTGACGGGTGCGAACTCCGATTAAGTGGTCAACAGATTTCTACTCGGGGAAGCAAAAAACAAAACAAAATAAATTCTCCTTCGGTTTTTCTAACTTGTTATTCAATTTTATTTCTACTATAATCTAATAACAGCGTTAAATATTAAACCCTCTCTCTCTCTCATTACAAATGCAAATTTTGAACGAAGTGTAACTTTTACTCTTTCGTAATGTACTTTTAATGTTTAATATGTCGACGGACGAGATCTTATAACATTGGGTGTCCGTGTACACATGCAGAGGAGAGAACCCGGGGATCTACAACATGACTTGTGTGTTGAACCCATTTGATCATATCATATGTTATGTAGATTGATATTATCTTCGTTCATTTCACTGGGTATGTTTTCAGGCATGTACATGAACACGCAAGTACTTACATATACATATATGTGTATGTAAAGGCTAAAGAGAGAGAGAAAGAGTCACTTTACGTAGAATGGTCAAATTGCAAGACTAAGAGATGATTTGCAGAGTGTGCGAATGCTGGGCTTTGGGGAGTCATGAATTGCATTAAACGAGGACGTCAGTTCCGATAATCCAAGTGGGGTAGAGAGAGAAACTCCAAGTTTTAGAGAGAGATCGACATTTTTATTTTAGATTATATTTTTTTTATTTAAATATGTTAATAATTTATTATGACTGATATTTTGCTTTTTAGGGTTGGATTTTTCCAGTTGGATCTGTAGGTTTGTCTTACTACACGAGACTGAGAGTGCTCAAATTAATAATTATTGCGACACTCGTGTCCCTCTTTATTGCAATATCATACAGGTACATGGGATACATATGTTATACTATATTTTAGATTCTGCCCTGATCAAGACTAGTGTTACATTTAATAAAACTTTTATATCATTATGGGTTTGATTATACAATAATCTTAATAAGCTAAAAAAAATTAAATCCATTTAAAGTGAGCCATGGAAAGGGTCTAACCTTAAAACTTCTTTTTGGGTTACTCATAAATTTCCTTTCATCTTCTTCTCCTTTCTTGAAAACCCTATATTTATTAGAGAGAGAGAAAGATAGTTTTAGAGAGAGAGAGAGAAACAGACAGATGTTTAGCAGTCACAGATAGAGCAGTGGAGATCTTTTCTCAATCTTTTTATAAGTAATGTTTTCTTCTCTTGATCATGTTCTCTCGTGTCTGCGATTCTCAATCTTTGCAGTCCCTGTCTTTGTCTCATCTCGTGTTTCTTTTATTCTTTCAGTTCATTTCTTGCAGGAGATTGACGGAAAAACACAGATTTGATTAGCAATGAATTCCAACAACTGGCTCGCTTTTCCCCTCTCACCAACCCACTCTTCGTTGCCTCCTCATCTCCATCCCTCACAGCCTTCCCAGTTCGATGTCGGATTGGTTAATGACAATATGGATAACCCTTTTCAAGGCCAAGGTATTTATACATCTACACACACACATACACTTTTCTCTCACACACACACATACACACACATATATATATATATATATATATCACAGATTCTTTTGTGTTGTAATTCCTAAGTACTAGCTGTATGCAACAGAGTGGAATATGATCAATCCACACGGCGATGGAGGAGGAGAGGTTCCAAAGGTAGCCGATTTTCTCGGAGTGGGCAAATCAGTAGTGAACCAGTCCCACAACCTAGCCGCCTACAACGAGATTGGTCAGAGCAATGGTTCGGATTATTTCTTCCAAAGCAGTAGCTTGTTGCCCAATGTGCAATCAAGCGCCGCCATTGCCACATATGCTTCTAACTCTGCTAACAACAATAGCTATGAGCTTCAAGAGAGTGCCAACAACTTGCAATCTCTCACTCTGTCCATGGGAAGTAGCGGTAATAACGCGAAAGCGTCACCTTGTGAGACAAGCGGCGACAACACTAGCAGCACTAATAGCGGCGCTATTGCCGACGCTGTGCCTAGAAGGACGTTGGATACTTTTGGACAGAGAACGTCTATCTATCGCGGTGTAACAAGGTTCATAGATTTGCATATGTCCTTCACTTGTCAATAACTATTTTTAGAATCTTTTGAGTCCATTTTTGAAATGGGTACTTGCTTTTATTGCGACTTAAGGCATCGTTGGACCGGTCGGTACGAAGCTCATCTCTGGGATAATAGTTGTAGGAGAGAAGGTCAATCGAGGAAAGGGAGACAAGGTAAGTTTAACTAGTTTCTAATTATAATAATTAACACTTTGGTTGTGACCTGAATTGCAACTTTATAACGTTATTACTTGTGTTTGAATGTTGGGCTACTAACTATTTGCTTCTTTTGTTCTTGATGTTCTAATCCGGGTTTCGACGACATTTGTCAGTTTACTTGGGTGAGTACCTATGACTTGGATTCCTGTTAGTCTCATCAGTTATACCGACTTTGGTTAAGGAAAATGGGAACTGTTTTGTGACATCGGACTTGTCCTAAATATGGCAGGTGGGTATGACAAAGAAGAGAAAGCAGCAAGAGCATATGATTTAGCTGCACTCAAGTACTGGGGACCATCAACTTCTACCAATTTCCCGGTATGTCTCATCGTACTCTCATCGAATGTCTATTCGGCACTCCAAAATATCCCAACTTTTGGGAGTCTCGTCTCTAGATCATATCATTTGCTGTCCTTTCCCTGTGTTGATTCAGATTAGTAACTACGAGAAAGAGTTGGAGGAGATGAAGCACATGACACGACAAGAATTCGTGGCTGCAATAAGAAGGTTTTTATTCGGTTTTCCGACATAGATTTTCATGTCCAACGGTCTAGGAGCTGTCACCATTTCCATATTTTGCAACTTGTGTATTAATTACACCTTTCCTTAACAGGAAAAGCAGTGGATTCTCTAGAGGTGCATCGATGTATCGGGGAGTTACAAGGTCCCTTATATGATCGGACTTCGTCGTATATCATATATTTCTACTTCTTTTTCTTACTAACGTACATTTTATATTTTCATAAAGGCATCACCAACACGGAAGATGGCAGGCAAGGATCGGCCGAGTTGCGGGAAACAAAGATCTTTACTTGGGAACCTTCAGTAAGCGCTATTAATTGATCGCCATGTGCAACTAGTTTTCGAAAGCAATGCATAACGACATTTCTCAGTAATTATATTATATGTTATATAACCAGGCACTGAAGAAGAGGCTGCAGAAGCTTATGATATCGCGGCTATAAAGTTCAGAGGCCTCAATGCAGTTACAAACTTCGAGATCAACCGATATGATGTCAAAGCCATTCTCGAGAGCACGACTTTACCCATTGGAGCCGGTGCAGCTAAGCGCCTTAAAGAAGCTCAAGCCTTAGAATCTTCTAGAAAACGCGAGGAAATGATGGCTCTCGGGTCAAGTTTCCAGTACGGTGACTCGAGCTCTGGCTCGGGTTCGAGGCTGCAATCTTACCCTCTAAGCATCCAAACCCCATTCGACCATTACCATCATCAACCATTGCTTACACTCCAAAACAACGACATTTCTCAGTACAACGCTCACGATTCTTCATCGTTTCACCACAACTATCTTCAGACACAACTTCATCTTCACCAGCAGACTAATTACCTGCAACAATCTAACCAGAATTCGCAACTTTATAACGCGTATCTTCAGAGCAATCCGGCTCTTCTTCATGGTCTGGTCTCCACCTCTGTCGTGGAAAACAACAACAACAACAACCACAATGGAGGCTCAAGCGGAAGCTACAACACAGGAGGGTTTCTTGGGAACAACGGCATCGGAATTGGATCCAATTCAACTGTTGGATCTGCCGAGGAATTTCCCGTGGTTAAGGTCGATTATGATATGCCGTCAGGCGGTGGAGGATACGGAGGAGGATGGTCCGGAGAATCGGTTCAAGGGTCGAATCCGGGAGGTGTTTTCACAATGTGGAATGACTGAAGGCTCTGTTTCTTGCGGCGCAAGGAAGGGTTCAAAATCATAACTATTTTAATTATTTTCTGATTTTTTTCTCTTTTTTGTTTCTTCTGTTGGAAGTGACAGGATCAAACTGAAGTCTTGATTAGCAGGAATCTTTGTTAGAAGGATTAGGCTTTCGGACAGCGAAGATCGATGATAATTAATTTTCAGGCGGCGACTTTTGTGGTTATTGTTCTTGAGGGTTAGGGTTTATGGGTACTTGAAAAATAAGAAGAAAAAGAGTACCCAAGTTTTGTTTAAAACTAACCCCTTGACTAACCCCCGAACTTGTAATTCCTTTATAAAGATATTTATAATTTCTCTGATTTTGTTTTCTTGTTTTAGCTATATATTTAGTGATATATTATATATTGTGTATACTCTCACAGCATTTTCCAAAGCCATAAAACCATAGCAATATAGTTATTGCTTTGTCCATCTCAACATAATTAAAAATAAATATATTTATCCATTTAAAAACTAATATTTGCAGCACTAAAAAATAAATATATTTCTCCTAATTTAAAATATTTGTACAATGATAAATTAAAATAAATATACATTTTAAATTGTGTCGAAACCATATAAACTAATAAAAACTATAGTTTTTTTGGAAGTTAATTACAAAAGTTTAGATTTATGAATGATTGAGATGTTTTAATTTAAAAGTTTTAATTTTTTGGGTGTTTCTCTATATTTGTTTTGATAAATATATAAAAAATGATTAAACCCCCCAATATATATATATATATATATATATAATATACACACGTTACGAAATTTATGTTCAATGTGACTAATTATGTCTTGAATGTGGCATAGAAAATTGGACGTTGATATCAACAAATGCAATTATGGTTAGAAAAGGAACTCCTATTGCAGTTGATCAATGATTGGTCCAAATCAACAAATGGATAAAATTAACCTGTTTCAGTAAATTCAAATAATCAAGAAAGACATTATGTGTGTGTATATATATATATGCAACTATATATGTAATGGGTTTTTCTAATTATAATGTCTTTATGTACAATAATGTTTTTTATTTTTTATTTGAAATAATTCCAAAAAAAACAGAGTAAACCGAATAAATTTAATCAGTTTGACTTCATATAAAAAAAAATAATCAGTTTGACTTGTAAAAAAAGGTAAATTGGTTTGATTTCGGTATTGTTATCACTCATGACTCATCAAACAAAAAAAAATCAGATTTTTCCGGTTTAGCCAAACCGATTATTTTAGGTTCTAATTTAAAAAAAAAATCTGAAGTCGGTCTTTAAAAAAAATCAAATCACAAGCCAATGAAAGATGAACATGTCACCATTTATTTTGTAGAAATGGTGCCATTATAAACGCCGATTTATCATACGTGAAAGTAGAACTTTTCTCGCTCTCTGCTGCTGCTGGGGTTTCTCTCCAGCAGACGATCTCGTTGAGAGAGATTCTTAGGGTAAGTGGGTTTCGCTTCTTTTGCAATTTTTCCCTGGGTTTTGTTCTATATTGGTTTTCGATTTCGATTTTGTGTTTCTCGATTTGATTTTGTTTTCTGCTTTCGTGATGGGCTGTAGTTTGTTGCTGTTGTTTTCGAACGATTAGGAACCGATCGAGAGAGAGCTTCCCGGGCCAAACAGGTGAGTGATTGTGTTTTCATATCGTTGGATCTGTTTAGGGTTTGATTGTAAGAAGAAATGGTTCTATGTTTCTGGGTTTTTCTGCCTCTTATGTTTTCCAAAGTTAACCTCTAATTTGTCTGAATACGGATATAGTATGCTTGGTATTGATCGAATTTCTAGGAAGTAGATGATAAAACATGTGATGTTGGGAACTCATTTTATAGTTTTAGATGGAATTGTAGCTTGGATTTAGCTGCTCTGTTATCTGCGCGATGCTAGGTGGAGCTTCGTGGCGTTAGCTTAACGTATCTAATATTTTGCAGCCTTTGTGGTTGGAACTCGGTTTCTAGGACCATGGGATCAGTCTCTGTTCTTAGGTTTCAGTGTTGAGCAAAGGGTTTCATCAATTCAGATGATAGATGAGTTTATGACGCTTATATGTTCATTTTATGAGGGGAAAATTCATGCTTTCTCTTATTTCCGCCGATTCATGTAGTTTAGATGTTTAAACCTGTCGAGAAGAGCTCATTTCCGGTGTACTTGTAGAAGGAAATGTCGAATGAGTTGTTTATATTCGCTCAAATTAGACATATTTATGAGGCTGGGAGGTCCAATTTGATCTAATTTACCTATCTTGTTGATGTCATAGTACGTGGGGGTGACACAGTTTATTTGAAGTGCAGAATGGAGCACGACAAGACCGGATGCCAAAACCCGCCTGAATGTCCGAAGCTGTGTATCAACAATTGCGGTTTCTTTGGAAGCCCGGCTACGATGAACATGTGTTCCAAGTGCCACAAGGCTCTGCTGTTTCAGCAAGAACAGGGAGCTAAGCTTGCTTCTGTCGTGTCTGGATCTTCATCCACTGTGAAGGAAACTGTTCTTGGTGCATCAATGGAGGTTCAAGCTCAGTCCATGGAGCCGGATGCCGCTTCCCCATTGCCGTCTCCTGCCTCTGACCATGGAGTAGGAGTAGAAGCAAAGCCCAAGGAAGGGCCAAGCCGATGCATTGCGTGCAATAAACGGGTCGGGTTGACGGGTTTCAAGTGCCGATGTGGCAGTCTCTTTTGCGGGTCTCACCGCTATGCGGATAAACACGATTGCAGCTTCAACTACCGTGCTGTGGCTCGGGAGGCTATAGCCAAAGCGAACCCCATTGTGAAAGCAGAGAAGCTCGACAAGATCTGAAACCGAAAGTTCTGCAACAATTTAAGCTTTTACGCACGTCTGTCTCGTCTCGAAAGCTCGATGATTCAGTTTCATCTCGAAAGCTCGGTGCGAGTCCCTTATCTTATCTGTACCGATGACTAGATTATCGTTAAAACATGCAAAAGGAAACAGTGTGGATGCAAAAATGTTATCAGAAGAAAAGATCATCGGTTTGGTATCTCGGACCAAATAGCTTGTTATAAGTGGTTTATGTTTTTTTTTTTCCTTGTGCTGATATGGGGAAAATATAGAAAATGAAGATAATTATGAAGGATTTATCTCGAACAACAATGGGGTTTTTTTTTTATAATATGAAATATCTTCTTTACAAAAAAAAAAGAAAATGAAATAACTGAAATTTGTAACATTTTTATAATTTTGTACCCTTTAAACCCCACGTTCTATTTACATTTGAGATTGTCCAGTTATACGATTTTCAGATATCTAATACATTGGTTGAGTCACATATTAGACGTGGGGTATCAATTTGACAGATGCTTACAAATTTAGATATATTCAAATTAATTATAATTAGGATGAATGTTTAGAAAAAATTGAAGTATTTTTTTGAAATTAATCCAATCCGTGTAACACTCGCATATCCATTGACGTGGCGACAGAGACAAAAAATTAACATCGTCACATTTTGGGTATCGATTTGGCAAACATTTTTGAATCAAAGTGTTAATTAGATTTCAATTTGGATATTATTATACAAAAAATTTACAATTTGGTGTAGTTTTTTGGAATTAACGGTTATATAAAAAGCTAGCTTTGAAAGATTTGAAAATCTTTTTTGATTATTTGAATAAGATCATAAAGCGCGCCTTTTCCATGTCGATAATTTCCTTGTCGAGTAATTATTTTAGTATAAAAATTCGCATGGCATGCATGCATAGAATAAGAAAACGTTTTCAATTTTCATCAAAAAAGAAAAAAAGAAAAGAAAACGTTTTCAATGAACGCATCCACCACCGCCCACCTTGTCTTTAATTAATTAATTATATATATATATAACACGTGATGAATAAAAAGAAATGATAAATTTTCTGCATAAAAAATTCAATGAAGCAAGTCGACACATTTTTATTTTTATTTTTCTAATTTGTCATTAATTAACTCGTATTATTTTTAATTATAATAAAATAATATTACAAAATAATGAATACTTCATATGATACGTATATAAAACCTAATTCCTGTAAAATAATATTTTCGACGAGATTACAACTTGATACAACAATAATATCGCTTTAATCCCAAGTTTAAGATTACAACTTGATGAAAAGGAAAAAATTACTAAGATTTCTAGATGAAATAAAAAAAAATAGCTAAATAATATCGGGGAACCATATCTGTGTTGCACCCTTTTCCTATTTTTATTTTTTACAAAAAGAATCAGAAAATAAAAAAAATGAAAATGGCATCGATCGAACGAAAAACGGAGACACGATTGTAAATACATCAATTGAAAAAGACGTCTCAATTCAGAAAATGAATTTGAAGAATAATAAGACTAAATCGATAAATTTATTTTTCATGAAATCGCAGATATAAAATGGATAATTGATCGGAGAAATTTTGAGTTTAAACCGAGAAATTGATGTAAACCAACTTAGAAACCAAGATTTGATATAAACCGCTCAGAAATCAACCCAAGATAAAGAAATAAGAAATTAAAATAAGCCGAATAAAAAATCAGATTAAACTTGACATTAGAGAAATCAAACTTAAAGATAAGGCTAAACCAGAAATCAAGCTAGAGATTAAATCAAACCGAGATCCAGAAATTAAACCAAACATAAACCAGGACAGATCCAAAATGAACCAAACCAGGAATCAAACCATACTAAATTCGTAATTTCTTATTAGCATTTCGGTTTCTAACAATTTAGATTCATTTCGAGGATTTAATATGTTAAAATTGATGGAATTGACTGAATTTTATCGAGATCTTTTTTAGTTATTTGAAAGCTTCTTAAATAAGATGAAATATTAAAATGATTTATTTAAAACTAGCATAAATTATATTGTTATAGACAGTTTTTAATTGATTTATATAAATGACCCGCGTCTCTCTCATACTTGTTCAAGAAATTAGCGAGCCATATGAACCGCAAAGAACCAAGAAATCCGAGTCAGATACAGACACACGCGCACACGGACATTAGAATTACGAGTTCCTCGGTTTTTGGCGGTTCGATTAATTCGCACACGGACAAACTCGAAGATTACAGATTGGCCAAGAAACCTAGAATAGAAATCAAAATATTACAATTACTAAATTGCCCCTCATCTGATCAAGGATTTAATTTTATTTTCAAAAATTCACGTGGCATCAAGCATGCATGCAGAAGGAGAACAAAAAACTTGGATAAGAAAAGGGAAATAATAGAGGCGACCATCGCCTATCTCCACCTTAATTATTTCCTGATTAAGTAATGATATTTATATTATATATATGATCACCTACCGGAAACGTGATGAATAGAAAGAAATTATAATCTTTCCCAAAGAAAAAACAAAATAATTAAACAAGTCGACAATTGTTTATTTTTTCTTCATTTTATATGGGTTTTTAATTAATTCTATACGCGTATTTGGTGAAAAAATAATCTTTTTGTTTTTCTTCTTTGTAATGAGCACCTTTAATTAATTCTATATGTTTATTATCTTTATTTATAAGTACTTTACGCTCGTTGTAAAACACTTCTGTCAACCATCGCACATCTCCACCTTAATTATTTCATAATCACATGACTACATTTTCGAATTGTATCTTCTGCGAAAACTTCAAAATATTTCCTCTAAAGGTTTAGAGTTTCGACCATGAAGATGGTCTTTATCCATTACGTACCATTGTTTCAATGAATGAACCGCTATGTATATGAAATACTTAAATGAGCTTTAATGCACAAGATTCGATACATTGATTTATGCGATTATACTTTAATGTCATTCGATGAGCACGTCTTCCACGGAAACTTGCCTTAAGAAAAAAACAACACATATGAAACTTTGCCATAAAAAAATAGACGATATATAGGAAAGATCTATGAGAGATTCATCAAAGGTAATCCATTTTTTTTTCGTTTTTCAGATTCTTTTCAAGAAAAAAAAAATTAAGTTGTGGGTATGGAGACTTACCAAATAGAATGGGAGGTAGAAAACGAAAATAAAAGTAAAAAAGAACGGAAAATATTAGGTCGAATCATATGTAATCAACATTGATAGAGATTAGAGCTAGAGAGCAATTTAATTATTAGAGACTTTTTATTCTAAGTTTATAATTAACAATATTTATAGAGATGATATATATATATATATAATATTATCATTGAAAATCCTGATTTTCTTATATAAAAGTCTAAAAATATAAAAAACAAATGTTACATTTTTAACCTGCGATGACATTTGACCAGTCTTCTATATTGTACTCGAATCTTTTATATCCTAATATATAATTTCTCTAGTTTCAAAAAATTCACATGGGATACATGCGGGACAAAAGATTTTAAAAGAAAAGGGAAAGCATTGTAATTAATACTGTGGAAGAGGACCCATCTTTCACCTGAATTATTTCCTAATAAAGAATTATGCTAGTTTCGAATTTTCTTATAAATACGACAATGCTTCAGCGAATCCTGAAGCACATCCCTCTATCTGATTCTGATCTATCTTCTCGAACCATCTCTCTATTTCAAGATGAAACTCGCCACAGTTTTCAATGTTCGTGGATCTCAAGTCCATGTTCGCCCACCCTTGTCTTCCTCTCGTGTCCGAGTCTCTTCGTTTCCTCGTACCCTAACGTTTTCTTCCACAACGAAACATGCAAACCCGTTGTCGGTCTCGAGGGCTTTGAGTTTCGATATTCAAGAAGGAACTCGCCGTCCATTTTTGGAGCTCCCGCCGTCTTCATGGGGCAATCACTTTCTCTCTGCTTCGGTGAATGAATCGGTATATAAACACACACAGTTCAAATATATACCAGTGTCCGATAATACCCTTTTGGTCAAAATAAAACAATGACTCGAGATTTTCTCATATATATCTTCTGTTGTGATAGTAAAAGCATTGCTTTGGGTGAGTAAGTGGAAAATCTGTGAGGGGCAAGTAATCGATTTATCACATGTTTTTTTTTTTTCAGGAAGTGGAAGCTCTTGCAAAACAGATTGATCAGCTTAAGGCCAAAGTGGGGGGCATGCTCATGTCTCCTACAGGTGAAACTAAAGAGAAGATTTGCTTGATCTATCAGTTGATAAGCCTCGGTCTTTCGTATCATTTTGAAAATGAGATTGAAGAGATCCTAAAGGATGCGTTTGGGGAGATCGAGGAGATGACGGCGGATGAGGACGATTTGTACACAATCTCTGTCATGTTTTGGGTTTTCAGAACATACCGTCATCACATGTCTTCTGGTAATTAAGGCCATCTTAATATGCATGTGTATACACACACACTATAAACCCTAACTCTCCAAATTAACTTAGTTTTCGTGATATATATACACGTTCCGTTCCATGCAGATGTGTTTGAGAGATTCAAAGGGGATGATGGCAAGTTTAAGAAATGTCTGGTTAACGATGCCAAGGGCATGCTAAGCCTATACGAAGCTGCTCATTTGGGAACGACAACGGAAGATATATTGGACGAGGCAGTAGATTTTACATTGGATCACTTGGAGGGCTTAGCAAAAGGGGCAAGCCCCCATCTATCAAGGCTCATACAAAATGCCTTGTTCCTGCCTCATCATCAAAACATCCCGATTCTATTTTCAAGGGAATTCATTTCGTTCTACGCAAAAGAAAAAGATCACAACGAGACGTTACTCAAGTTCGCCAAGGTCAATTTCAATTACTTGCAGCTACTTTACAAGCAAGAATTAAAAACACTCGCAAAGTAGGTTCTCAAACCTTTTTTATCATATTAATCTCTGTCTTATATATATGCACACATATATATATATGTGTGTGTGTGTGTTTGTGGAGTCACTAATTAAGAGATGAAATCCCTCGAATGTCATTGCAGATGGTGGAAGGACCTGGACCTTAGATCGAAGCTGCCACATTACTTCAGAGACAGAATCGTTGAGTGCTATATCTTCGGTATAGGGGTATTTTTCGAGGCACAGTGTTCGCAAGGGAGAGCCGCAGTGGCTAAGTTCATCAAGCTCTTCACCATTCTCGATGATACTTATGATAGATATGCTTCTCTTGATGAGGCCATAAGTCTCGGCGATTGTGTGGAAAGGTGCGGTAAACTCCACGCCCGAAAATCGAAAGGATAACACAAAATGGATTTAGGAAATTAATTCTTGATATATGTGTACAGGTGGGATCCTGAAGCGATGGACAACCTACCTCCTTATTTGAAGATCGTCTTCAGATTAACGTTGGACATTTTCGGAGAGTACGAAAGAGAAGCGAGGCTGGAAGGAAGATCTTATAGTATTCATGAGATGATAGAAGAGGTGATTAATCAAACTTGAGTTTATAAAAAAATGTTTCAATATGCATACATACATATGTGTATATATATATATGCATATATATATTCCATCAAATTCTTTTAACTTATGAAACGTACGTACGGTTAATGATCGTAAACAGTTCAAGAGATTCATCAGAGCGAACGTGGCATTCAGAAAGTGGGAAGATTCGGGTGAGTTGCCGAGCTTTGACGAGTATATGGAGGTCGGAGATGTTGAGGTTGGGATATACATAACCACAGCAAGCAGCTTTATCGGAATGGGAAACATGGCCGAGAAAGAAGCTTACGAGTGGCTTAAATCCAGACCGAAGCTAATCGATGCTGCGTCCACAAAGACACGACTGATGAATGACATGACTGGCTTCAAGGTACACACGCAAAAAACAAACAAACATGACAAATTGTTGCCCTTCTCTTACTTAAAAAAAAAAACTTTTTTGTCGGGGTGAAATCATCAGGATGACATGGGAAGAGGGTATGAGGCGACAGGGATAAACTTGTACATGAAGCAACATGGAGCGACAGAGGAAGAAGCCTTTAGAGAGTTTCGAAAAAGGATTAGGGTTTCGGATAAGATAATGGTGGAGGAGTTCTTGAAGACAAAGGATGTCTTGCCTCGGCAAATCGTGATGAGACTTATCAACGCTGACCGGATGAGTGCTGTCACCTACCGGATGGGAGAAGGATACACCCATCCTGAAGACAATTTCAAGCACTATATCACCTCTCTCCTCGATGACCCCATTCCTCTCTGAACCTCTCTCCCACTCGCCTTTGTTTCGATCGCTGTTTTGTCTCTTTCTCGTCCACGTTTCCCTTTTGTTTCTATTTTCACTCTCACTTGTACTTGTCCCCAAATAAAAATATAAAGAAATAAATAACCCTTTCCTTTCTTTGCCCCCTACAAATCGCTTACGGGCATCCAAAATAAACTTAGATGGTATTCGCAGGCAGTACAAAACAAGTAGCCTGAGCAGCGAACCCAATAATCCACAAAAGGGCTGGTACACTCACGGCTCACGCACTCAGATAAAGTTCCTTTCTCGATAAACCAAGCCCATGATTTTGGAAAAATAAAATGTATTATTTTACATTAAGGCGCGGGAATCTCCATGTATATATATTCACATATACATACGCATAAACATGCGTGTGTATATATATATATGCATGTGTATATAAAATACGTATGTACACTTATATGTCTATGCATATGTGTATATATACGTATGTGCATATGTATGTATAGGTGTGGGTATATATAAATGTATACATTTCTGTAAATTTTTTTGTTTTGTTTTGTAAACAGTTTACGCCTTTAGTGTTTTTTTGGTGGACAAAATATACAAATACATGTATTATTATTTAAGTTCACAAGTTTGAGGGGCTTTTTTGTTATATATTTTAACAGCTTCACGGATTTTAAACCAAACCCACGATTTTGGAAAAATAATATGGATTATTTTATGTTGATACACGGGAATCTCTATGCCAGATCTATTTTCATTAATAACTTAGGTCAATTATACTCAAGATTAAGTGAATCAATACGAAAAAAAGGGTGCAAAACTACTTCCCAATCCAGTTTCGAACTCTCATTTAGAGAGATATTAAACACTATATATGATTTTAAACACTATATATGATTTTAAACACTATACATGAGTTTTTCCAACCCTCTGGAAATTGTAGTTGGGCTATGAATTTTCGGATTATCAAAATCAAACCAACAAAAAACTTAGGTTAGTTCATGATACTTATTGTTACTTTCATTGCGAAATCTCTACACATTAAACACTATATATGATTTTAATGGAATGTGTTAAAAAATTTTCTTGAAAACGCACAAAAACACACAAAACAAAAGGATCGTGTGGTTACAAGAACGTCATCACATCGTATTAGATCAGAAGAATCAAAGGTGAAGAGGGACATTTGCGATTTCTATATGAACTTTATTATATGAGGATAGAGAAAGAGTGAGAATCACATGCATCTTATTACGTCATATAGGTCCCAAGTAGGTAATTATTAGAGAGTAAAATAAACTTATTCTAACGTAGATAAAGACTCGGATCAGACAACCTAGGCACAGGTACAGCCACAAGCGGATTCTTCAGCCTTAACGCAGTCCCGAACTTCTCTTCAATCACCAGTTCATGTCCTCCCGGAGCCTCCCAATCGAATAAATGCAAAAGAGTTGCCAGATTGTACAAAACAGTCCTCTCAGCCAGGGCTATCCCTGCGCATATTCTCCGGCCAGACCCGAAAGGTAAATAACTGCAATCTTCTCCGTTGAATTCAAATGATTTATCAAGGAATCTGTCAGGGTTGAACTCCAGTGGATCATCCCACAAGCTTGGATCTCTCTGGATCGCCCACATGTTGAAGAAAACGGTAGTGTCTTTGGGGATGGTGTAGCCGGCGATAACGGTGGTTTGGCTGGACCGGTGAGGGAAGAGGATAGGAGCCACCGGATGAAGCCTAAGGGACTCTTTCACGACCGCCAGTAAATATGGAAGTTCAGAGATGTGATGTTCTTCGACCCTCTTGTCGTCTCCTACAACTTCGTCTAGTTCTTCTTGAACTCTCTTCATTATCTTAGGCTTGCTTATAAGCTCGGCCATGGCAAACTCTATTGTGTTCGAGGATGTCTCTGTGCCGGCGAGAACCATGTCCTAATAACAACAACAGAAACCCTAAATATAAAAAACTTGTAGTTTTGTACGGCATAATAGTTGTTTGTTGATTCGCATATATAATATTAGAATACCATGAGCAAGGCCTTGACGTGGGAGAGCGACAATGGTGTCGTCTCATCTTCTTCCCTCAACTTCAACAAGACTTGCAAAAAATCATCGGCATCGTTCTGACCAAGGCCAATCATTCTCAGCCGTTGATCGATGATCGGATCAAACATCCGGTCTAACCGTTGGATCAGTCCACGCATCTGTTTAGCCAAACCTTGTAAATCGAAACGGCTTAAACCGGGAAAAAAATCAGAAATGTTGGGTCGGGACGTTAAACTGACGATCTCCGACACTAATTCTCTGAACTCTGCCGCAATTTTCTCTCTCTCTTCGCTCAGAACCGTCGCGCCCCAGAGCATCTGGGTCACGACGTTCAATATTGTCCCGAACATCTGCTCTCCGATGTTTACCGGTGACCCGACCCGGGCTCTATCCCCCAAATACCGGACTGTTTGTCGGATCTCACGGTGGCGGAGTCCGTTCGATGAATCCAACGTGGCTTTGGTCAACAACTTGTGGACGCACACTTTCCTCAGCATCCGCCACTGCGGTCCGTACGGAGAAAGCATTAAGTCACCACCGCCGTAAACGGCGATGAGGGCCGTGGTGGTGGCTTCGCGGTTCGCGAAGATGACGTCATGGATTTTAAACATCTCACGCGCCACCGCCGGAGACGTGACGACGACGGCGAGTTTGGCGCCGAGTCGGAGTTTGAAGATGGGACCATATTTTAGGGCGAGACCCTGAAAGTAGACGTGGAGGTCTGGTTTGAGGAAGGGAAGGTTTCCGGCATTAAGCCCCCCCCGCCGTAAACGGCGATGAGGGCCGTGGTGGTGGCTTCGCGGTTCGCGAAGATGACGTCATGGATTTTAAACATCTCACGCGCCACCGCCGGAGACGTGACGACGACGGCGAGTTTGGCGCCGAGTCGGAGTTTGAAGATGGGACCATATTTTAGGGCGAGACCCTGAAAGTAGACGTGGAGGTCTGGTTTGAGGAAGGGAAGGTTTCCGACGATCGGAAGGCCCCGAGGTCCCGGCGGCAACGGTGGAGCTCTCGCCGGCGGTTTGGACTTGATGAACCGCAGAAGGGAGAGCAGAGCGATGAGGACGAAAACGGCGCCGTATGGGATCTGCATGGTGTTCTATGCTTTGGTTCTGCAGAAACAGAACTCAGCTTCTCTAATGTTACTATGCGGTGAGGGGATTGAGGCCCTCTCTACGATGCATTTTAAATAGGCTTTCTGATAAATGCATGTTCTGAATACCAATTTAAATATATTTTTTTAAATCTAATCTTTCGTCTTTGACTCTTTGGTGATTGCGACCAGTAAATCATTTTCAATAGAATAAATTAAATTATTAATAGTATGCAAAATCAAATCTAACTTATATAAGAATGTGAAAAATGTAATTTGTTTACATCGAATAAGATCTACAAATATTTTAACATAAAAAAAGTCATTGTTAAAAAAACTAAAATTTCCGGATAAAATTTAGTATATTTGACCAAATTTGACACATTAAACTTCCAAAAAATGATCCGTATGATTTAAAAATATCTTATGATGGTATAGTAATAAGATCAAGTGAAACAGAAATATTAAAACTGGAAACGTAAAAAAATAAAAAAATAGAAGGAATTTATTTAAGTAAAGAAATCAATATATATATCTGAATTTGATTAAACAAAAATTATAAAAGAAAAAAATCTTATGAATGAGAATTTGAATGGGAGATATATATGTTTTTAATATTTTTTATTTTTAGAAATTAAACAAATTTTAAAGTTAAATTAAAATTCCAAATGATAAACTATATTTTACTATTTTACATATACATACATCCATAAATACATATATAATATAAATGCATTTACACCTATATACATACATACATGCATGCATACATACATACACACACATATACATGCATATAAACATACGTACATAAATAAATATATTTAATTTAATATAAATATACATATATATGTATATGTATAAATATATATATATATATATATATATATATATATATATGT